TGAAGCCTGACCCTAGGGAATGCTAGACAAGTGCTCTACCTCTAAGCTGCATCTCCAACCCCAAAGACCCCATTCTCAGACACTTAAAAAGGAAGAGAGAAGTAGGCGGAGAATTGAAGAAATACACAGTCCACGTGGAGTGTGACTTCTTACTCAGGCCGAAGGCATCCAAATGAAACCAATCGCTGTGTGTGACTCACACTGGCAAACTAATGGCGTGCAAGGAAGGTCCACTTAGCCAAAAGTTACCTCCTCAGTCACCCTGGAAGCAGCAGTCAGCATATTGCCCAGACTTTCCTAATGATCAAAAGCCAAAGATGAGTCAACTTAAGAAAAATATACCCATTGAGTGACTGGAAATCTGAATTAACTTCCTTCTACAAAGCCAGTGTCTTCAGGGTTGGGCCCCACTGGGCCCCACTGGGCAGCAGCGAACTCCCTGGCCTGCTCCTGGCCTGGCCCTCTTCTCTAAGATGTGGGCCTGGGAAGTCCTGGAGAGACCTCAGTCAGGCCTTAGCTGCACTAGCGCCAAGCCACTGATCCCACACTCACACTGAAAACTGAAAAAGCACATTCAAAGTCCAGGAGTGCTCAAAGTTAGCTGCATTTCACTCTTTACTCATGGTATCTTTAGTCATCAAAGTCAGGAAATCAAGTTTAATTTAATTTTCTTAAGTCTTCCAAAAACAGAAGGTAAGATATATTTCTTATTTTTATTGTTGTTTTCCCTGGATCATCATGTAAAATGTTTTATGTGGAATACACTTTTATTAATGTTATGTATAACTTTTAAAGGTCATTAAATTTGTACTAATGTTGCCCCAAGGTACTCTGTGAATATGTTAAGAATTAAGACACAGTTGGCAAAGTGATTACATTATCTAGGTGACAAGTAGTAAAAACTTTTGTTACTTTACTTCCTAGAGTAGTAAACAATCACAACTAGAAATAATATGTTAGGGCCGGGGATTTAGCTCAGCGGCACCATGCCTGCCTGTCAAGTGTGAGGTCCTGAGTTTGATCCCCCGGTACCAGAAAAAAAGACATAATACTGTTAGATTTACTAAATAGGCTTGTTTTTAATGCCCTAATTTACAGAATAATATTATCTTTATATAAGAATAAATTTTATTACTGGTAAGCAACATGTTCAAAAATTCAAATATCCTTATTTACAAGCTATTTTAAAATAATTAAAAATCTTTTAATTTTTTTTCATGGTTTAACTTATATAGTTAACATCTTTATGACAATACAATCTTATTAGCTGTTTAAATTTTCAAAGAAATTTAATAACAAGGGCAAAAAAATTGTATGTCAGTTTTCTTGCAGAAATTAAATAGTTCTAAACAATAAGCAAAATCTCCTAAATAGAGAATATATAAATCTTTATTTCCAGTAGAAAAGTGTTGCCATATCTACATCCACAGCAAATAGAACATTATATTTATGTAAACAGAAATAGAGAAATATATGTATCTCTATACCCAGCCATAGCCAGATAGATATAGCACTGCAGGTTTAGAGAAACAATATGAGAGGAAAAAGCTTTTCAGATACACGAGCAGTTTTACACAATTTATGCACGAAATAAAGCATTCAGTCTTCTCGTTAATAAGTGGATATATACTTTTATTTTCAAAAGCTGAATGCTTAAGAATAAAAGCAGCTTGCTAATATCTGTGAATATCAATATATAGCGCAGAATGATAGTTATTCACAAAACATGCTAATATACATGTTCTCATGCCTTCTGGACATACTATTCTAAAATTGTGTTAGCAAACCCTACAACTGTGCTTCACTTTACAGACAGCAAACCTAAGGTCTGAATACTCTGAGCATCTCACGCAGTGAAATGGACTGTGACAAGTGACACACAGGCCCTGTCACTGTGTCACGACTGCTGATTGTATGCAACCAGAGGTGAGTGTGACTCTCTCCAGATGTATTATAAAGTTCTCAAAACAACACAAATATATTTAACAAAAAGTCTAAATAGTCTTTTTTTAAAGAAAGAAAATCATACAGGACTGGAATGGACAAGACAGAGAAGACAAGGAACACATAATTAGGATGGGTCAAAGCAGGAGTTGGGGTTACGTCATGAGCTATGCTGCTGGCTTGTTACGCCCACTCCTCACTGACAATCAGCTTTCCTGTAGGGCATCCAGACACTGCAGTACAGCCGTGCGGGACAACAGAACCCCAAGTGACCAGAGTACTTCCAGAATTCAGCACAAGGATTGGACATTCTTGACTCTGACTTTGATACTTCTTGGAAATCTTTTTAAAAGACTACCTTGTTACCTCGGGAGAAACCCACAGTAAACCCAGCTGAAAGGTTCTTAGATATTGAGGCACCAAATGTCTACAGCTGGGGCCTGCACATGTTTCCTCAAAATCCAAACAGTAAATATTTTAGGCTTTGCAGGCTATAGGAGTCCAGTGTGAAAGGGGCCATGGACAATATGTAAACAAATGAGCCTGGCTATGTTCCAATCCAACTTTATTTACAAAGAATAGAAAAAAGGCTGGTGTGCTGGATTTGGCTCATGAGCCACAGTGGGCCAACCTCTGATCTAGAATATATTTATATTAAAATACTTCTTCCATACTTCCTAAAGTTGTAAATTCTCACGAAATGCCATTCATGTGACAAAATGTATCTTGTCAATTATTTTCCTTTTGAGACAAAGTTCCTGAGCCCCCAAATCTACACAACGTGGGCTCAACTACTCAGGTATTTGTGACTGATTAGGTCGGGTGTCCCTACTGCCCCACCTAGAGTAAAGGTGTGTTTGCTGCTTGTTGGGTCAGGACATGAACACTGATAGGTAAATGACCGGCTAGTTTAAGGAAACAAACTCAGTGTCACAGCAAACTAGAATTATTAAACATTAATTTTATCTGCTTATTAAAGCATATCAGATTGAGTCACTACTTTAAAAGTTTGTTGGCTTTAATTATTATATGTGTGAAATCAATAAAACAATATTTATTTAAAACCATCCTATGCATTTCTCCTGTTCTCTAATTCCAATGATCTGGCTTTCAAGTCAGGAACATTTAACTGAAATGTGAGATACTCACTTCTTCATTCATTTAAAAATATTTACCGAACGCCTACTAGCAGATAGGCACTGCTTTAGAAGCTGCAGATTTAAGAATATGACACAGCCCTACCAGCAAGAGATTCACTATGGCAAAGATGTCTCCTCAGAAAACAACAATTAGTCTTTATGAACAACTTTACTGTCACATTATGAAAATTAATTTTGAAGTTTCTAGAAATATTGTATTAGGTATTAGATATTGTAGTTAATTAAAGCACTAACATCATTTTCACATATACCTCTACATTTTTTTCGTTAATTGATTATGTAAATAAAGTAAAAAAAACAGAACACCACTGGTTTCCAGACATGTAATAAAAAATCAATCAAAATGGTGTGTACTGCAAGGTCAGGTTTCTAACACTTGACAGAAGCCACGTGGCAGGACAATTCGCGCAGGCTACCTTTCTGCAGGAGAGCAGCCATGGCACTGGCGATGGGGCTGGGAGTTGGTATGTGGAAGGAACATTTCCTCATTACGCCTACCTCCTGCCTCCCTTACTTTTATAACGAAGCACAATTCCTGCTTCAAGTTTTTGTTAAAAAGAATGTGATTAACATTAACAAAAAATTGTTCTCTTTGTGGTACAGAGGATTGAGGGGGCACTACATTTAAATCTACCATTTAACTCTACAACTTACGAATGCTTTCCCCTCTCCTATTGACAATAATTAATTTTTAGTTTTCTCTTCAGGTAGAAAAGGTGAAGAGGAGAAGAAAACCCAATCATTGTGTATAAACAGGTTTGTGAGAAAAGAGGCAGGCATTCCCATTCACTGAATAGATCCCTTGAGCACCCACATTCCAGAGGCTGGAGGCACGGAGAGCTAAGCTCTTTCTCTTCTTTCCCCTTAGGAGCATGCCCAGACCACAAAATTAATTAAAGAAATGTTCCTGGCTGCCCAGGCAACAGAAATGACAGGCTTGCATCTTATGCTTTAATAGTCCATCATGGGAATTTTTAACTTAAGCAATTATAAAATAAAAATGCACTGACGCTAAAGATAGTTTTATAAACCTGTCACTTTAATCTTTCTTCATGGCTTGTTGGTTCAATTTGGTGGCTATATAATCAAGTAGAGTTTCACTGCAAAAATTATAATTATACTAGTTATTGGGCATGAAACAACATATAATATTGGCCTTGTCATTATGTTCACACTAAAAGACTGAATGACAGTGACATTTAATAAAACTTCTTCCAATCAGGCTATAAAGATAATTTTTACTTTGTTAAAAGTACATATACTTAGCTAAGATTTCTTATCCTTCATGAAATCAGAAGTAATGGGGGAAGTACCATTTTCTTATTTAAAACTTAATGCTAGCATGCTGTTAATAATCTCAATGACAACCATGACAGGGCAACAAGCCAACACAAACAAATAAAGTCTTATAAAAATTGACAATGCTTCTCACTACACAGAATGATTTCAAATTTATTTTAAGATACACCCTAGAAACACAGTAATTTCTGGGTGTCTGTTCAGTGGAATGTAAAGAAAAAATACTAAATACCCAATCGGCTGAGTTTATGTGATGGGAAGTGACTTCCAGAAACAACCATTATTTGACTTCTTATAATTTTGTGTTCATATGGAAACTTCCTAATACTTAGGTTGAAAACATGCTTAGTGAGACCTACTAATGAAAACTGTAAAATTGGAATATGCACAGTTTTTCATGTTGAATTTTTCAAAACCCCATAAACTTGATAAGCAATTAAGGCCAGATTTACATTTTTTCATTTACCACTTCTGACATTTATGATAGCTCAAAATAGAGGTAACATTTTTTTAGTGCATAGAACATATTTAGAATATACCTACAACTTTTTGTTATTAAAGTCTAAAGTTCTCTTTTCAATTAGTGTATTTACCAACCTCTTCTGGGGCTCTCATGATTGAAGAGAATGCCATTCACTGCAAAAAGGTTGTATGCTTCCCGGAAGTTCACCACGATCCAATAGGCATAGAGTTTTGCGGCCCCTGTTGGAATAGTTTCAAGAATTATAATGTGTAATATATCAAAATTTAAAAATATGAATCAAAAGCCAAAACAAAATAGGTTCCTCTGCCTTAATCATGCTCGTAGGAAATATTAATAATTTCCTTCTTTTACCGTGTAATTAATTCAACTATACCATACAGAAGTTCACTGCTCTTACATCTTATAGTGTGTTTTTCTTTTTTTTAGTGCTAAAGAATTAGAAAGGAAAAAATTGGAGATATTAACATTCAAATCACTTTGAAATTTTATCACTGAAGTCGTTCATGAATATTTTCTTTACAAATATACTAGGTGTACCAGATTTTTCTTTCTTTTCTTAAGGGTTTGAGCACAGGGAAACTTGCATGGAGAAATAAAAAACATGAAACCTTATCACTTCAGCACAATCTCAGAACAGCTCAGTGCAAGAATCACATTGGGTCTGATTCTCCTCTCAGAGGGATCTGGATGGAAGAGTTGAACACACACAAATGGTGCAGTGAGGTGATAATTTCACCCGGGGCAATGGCAGTGAATACGCGAAGTTAGCGATGTACAAAGGTATGCTTCTCAACAAGTCCAGTCACTTTAGTCTACCTTCACGTTGATCTCACACTCAGATGACTTCAGCCAGAAGACACGAACAGATCAGAGTGAAAGCAGCCCCTGCCCCACACACAGAGAACCATGCACACGCCTCTCACCATAGGGCGACCGTGGGTAGAAAGGGGTGGTCTCCTTCTGGGGGATTTCTTGCACCTTCCCATACAGCTCACTTGTGGAGGCCTGGTAAAATTTCACAGAGTTGATAAGGCCACAGGTCTTCACTGCATCCAGTAGCCGCAAAGTGCCAATCCCATCAACATCTGCAGTGTACTCAGCTAAGTCAAAGGAAATCTGCAAATAGATGGTGGAGACAGGGCTACATTCAAGGTAATAGTGACAAATGCTGGCAGGGGTGTCAAGGACTAAGATTCCACACACTGTGCAACGTTGTGTTGGTGAGAAAACAGTCCTATTTTCTAACAGCCGAGTAAGAGTGTGGCTGTTCCCTATTCTAACATCAAATGGCTGCAAATGTTATACTACCCATTTATACCTACTGCAAAGTAAAGAAAACTTCAGGTTACCTCCTCACTTCAGGCTGAATCCCTAGGTACTGCTTATCAATGGGCAAAGCCCTTTCCCTCAGAAGGTGTCCCTTAAAAATGGGGGTGCAGGCCCAGGACATTTACACTCTTCACAAGTCCCTATTGACTTTTTTTTTGGTACCAGGGATCGAACTCAGGTCCTTGCGTTTGCGCAGCAGGCGGTGAAACCACTGAGCTAAATCCCCAGCCCCCTATTGATTTTTGTACACAGAGAAGATTGATAATGTATGTTTTAGAATACATCTGATGTATGCAAGGATTGTTTTGCTTTCTATCTTTAAATTAAGACACATGAATGACTGCAGTATATTGCAAGTCTATATAATCTTTTTATAAGACAGTACATATAGCAAGTTGCTAATGTATATATGAACTGGCTAATTTCTAAGAGGACACTGAGTAACAATTCAATATATGGCTGTCCTTTGAGACAGGTTTTAGAAAACAGATGTGACCAAAATGCCTTTTTCTTAAGTCATCTATACATACAACCAACAAATTACCCTGTTATGAAGTCCTCTAAATAATGAGGTTGAAAGTCTTCGACCCTGATCTGTTCATTGCCTTGTGAGGGACCTCCGTCTTCATGGGAAAAACCTCTCACTGGGTAGTGGCTGGCCTTTGTTACTTTCTGGGCCCAAATATCCCCTGAAAAGAGGCTGCAGCCTGCACACAGTACTTCTGGAACCCAAATAAGTGCTCGCCGGGGAGTCAACGGCCTCGTAGCCCCTGTCCTCTAGGCCTACGGAAAGCCCAGGTAACAACCAGGAAATAAAAATGAGCAAAAAGACAGCATGTTTTACCCATAATCTATCAAGCCACAAAGGCAAATATGGGATTTTTTTTTTCTTTTTAAATAATGGTTTGTTGGGATTCATTCACATACCATACAATTCACCATTTTAAAGTTTATGATTCTGTGGTTTTAATATATTCACAGCATTATGCAATCATCATTACCATCTAATTCCAAAATATTCCCTCACCCCAGAAAGAATCTCTGTAGCCATCAGCCATCATTCCCCAGCCCCCAACTTCCACTCCGACTCAGACAACCACTAATCTACACATTTACCTACTGTGGACATTTCACAAAAACACAACATTTAACATGTAGGCTTTGGTGACCAGCTTCTTTCACTCCAAGTTTTCATTTCTCGCAAACATCTAAGCCATGCTGAGCCGCATGGCAACACTGCGGCCACCCTGTCGAGGACCTGCCAGACTGCCTCCCAGACTGCCTGCCACAGCACCCATGCTCTCACCAGCAGGGACTGAGGGCTCTCACAGCCCACATGCCACCCAACACTAGCTGTGGTCTGCCCTTTGTCTTCCAGCCATGCTTGTGGTCTAAAGTGGTATCTCCTTGTGGTTCCATCTGCATTTTCCTCATGAGTAATGATCCTAAGCATCTGTTCATGTGCTCACTGGCCATCTGTGTATTTTAACTATTTGTCTTTTCATTACTGAGTTTAAAAATTCTTTCTATATTCTGGACAGAGCTCCCTTACCTGACACATAATTTCGACTTTTCCTTCATTGTGAGGATTGTCTTTGCACTTTCTTAAGGGTGGCCAATGGAGAAAAACATGTACAATTTACCTACTTTTTGTTTCATCACTCATGGTTTCAATGTCATATTTAGGAATACTTCACTTAACCCAAGATCATGAAGATTTGCTCCTATGTTTTATTCTATGAGTTTTATAGTTTTGTCTCTTGCATTTAACTTCTACAATCCATTTTGAGTTAATTTGTGTGTACAGTTAGGGGTCCAACTTCATTATTCACAGATGGATATCCAGTTGTGCCTGCTCTTTCTCCACAGAATGGACTGGACACTGGCTGTCTTGTCAGGAATAAGGCACTGAGAAGGCCTTGCTGGGGAATAAAACCTTCAAGATGGGTGTCAAAAGCTACATGAGAACAACAGCCAGGAGAAGTAGTCCTCTGCACTGGGCAGATGCCACTCTAAGCTGTTTGCACAAATACGTTATTTATTCCTTGAACTGATAAGCACCAAACTGAGACAGAGAAGTTATGCAAATAGGAGAGCAGAATTTTACACTAAGGACAAATTTACTATATACTGAATATTAAATACTTGTATGATATACTCATGACAAACCAAACATCCCCTTGATCTTTGGAGCACAAGATAAAGAAATTGCACAACTGCATCTAGGTAGGACATTATTCAGAGGTCATACTAGTAGGAAGGAGAAAAACAGGTGGGCTGAAGTTAGAAACTGAGGCAGGCGATGAAGGGAGAAGACAGCTGTCTTTCTGCAAACTTTATGGAAGTTTCTCAAGAATAAAGCATATGTTTTAAGATCAGAATTCTAAAGGTAAGAATGGCTGACAAAATCTAATTGTTTGAAAAATGTTTTTTAATACAAACTAACAAATTAAATCAAGGCAGTACTTTATAGCTTGATCACCCCCTAAAGGTTACAAGTATGATTCTTAAAACATACAGGGTCCTGAAAGTAACTGTCCATGGACCAAATCTGGCCAGCTGCCTGTTGGGGAAAAGCTGCATTGCTTCCCTCCCGTGTTTACAGTCACTCTCCAGCCTCACCCACAGAGTCGAATAGCTCCTACATAGGATGCATTTCTCATGAAGAGATATAACTATGAACTATGTGGCCCTTTACAGAAAGAGCTTTCTGATCCCTGAACTAATCCATAGTTCTATTTGCGAGCCCAACAATGTATTAAAATACGGTGATAGTCACTGGTTTCCACATCTTCTCAACACAGATACCCCTGGACTTAGGATGGGGTTAGGACCCAATAAACCCGCTCTAAGTCACAAGCGCACCCGATACACCTGGCGTACCACACACTCAAGCTGCTCACCCTCCAGAGGGAGGAGCTGTCCAGAGGGTCAGGCTGCCCTCAGCCCAGGAAAAGATGGCATTTAAAATCCAACGTGCGGCTTCAATGAGCGTGGGTAATGTTCGCACCACTGTGAAGCAAAAATGCTGACTTGGAGACATCTGTGCTATGGGATGATGACGGCATCATCATCATCATCATCTAGTCACAGAAAAGTGTTGGATTTTCAGAGGCACAGAGACTTCCTTAACAGTAGAAACAATTCACCCAATAAAGAGAACAAATACAATTGACTGATAGAAAAAACCAAAAGACTCAACGTACAAGGTAATATCCTAATTTCTTTTCTAGAAATAACTTCTTCATTTTACTGGCAGCAACGTTCCAGACTCTGGTACTGGCCTAATGGGGCTCCGGCTCCACCCTCAGCAGCCCCAGGCCTCGCCACCCCTGCCAGGGCTCGGGGCAGAACCTCTTTCTCCTCTCTCTAGGTGTGTCTCTGCACCACTGTGCAGAGCCGAGACCCAGAGTCAGGCTGCCTCCCGGCCCACAGCCCTGCCCATCACCTCAGTTACAGGACCGGACCGTGGGGTGATGTTGCCCGCAAAGCTCCACTTCCCTTGGCCCAACCCTCGCTGTCAATAATATGCATTCAAAACAGAACCAAGAGTCATCCTTGCTCCTCCTTTCCTTCTCAGTTTGCAGGAATCCAAGCATTTCTCCCCACTTCTTTCCATGGAAGAGCAGCGGCAGCCCCTCCACACGTGGGCCTTCCCTCCGGCCTGCCGGCTGCTCTGGGCACCCTGCTGCGCTCCCTCTGGGCTGCCTCTTACTCCATCTCCCCTCTCTCTTCCCTTCTCCATTCCTGCCTCCCTCGGAGTCAACCCAGTGCTTCTCATCCCCAGTTACGCACCCTTATGCCCTGCATCATTTCCTTCTCACTGTGATCTCTCACTCCACCTGTTCTCTCTCCCTATTGAAATGTGGGCGCCCTGAGGGGAGGCCTGTGTCCATTCTTTGCAGTGTCTCCTACATTGCAGGGCTCCCCGGCACAGTATGTGCTGAGTGAAGACAGTGGGTAAACTAACAATGTGTTTAAGTGTCAAATAAACAAATATCAAAATAAACACACAGAAACCAGCAGAGAAGAAAAGGGTTATCAGAATGATAAGAGACTGATAATTGAATAGCAGTAAAATAATAGGTAAAAATGTGAAGGGCCAGAGAGACATAATTCTCTATATAATGCTGAACTTTAGTATAACAATTATGACAAAGGTGTACCAGTTATATGGAGTCAGAACTGAGAGGAAAGGAGAACCATTTGGACCACAGCTGGTGAGTCGGGCTGGGAGGAGCTGGCTGCTGGGATACTCAGGACCTGGGTGGAGCGGCTCCAGGAGACCCAGCAGCCAGCTATGAGGGCACGGCGAGGCCTGAAGGAGGACGCAAAGCCAAAGGGAGACAGATACAAAGCCAACCACTCTTAAAAGATACAACAGATATCCAAGGAATTATCTTCATTTACTTATGGGTGATAAATCATGGCCTGTCTTGAAACAAACAGAAAATCAGGAATGGTCTGCTGAATGATCTGTGGAGGCCTCAGTTATAGGTGCTCAAAGTTCAAATTCTGGTTCTTCACAGTCGAAAGATATCATATCAGACTTTTATTACGGAAGGCCTAAGCTCACTGTGCTAGACCTGACATCAAATAAAGCAAATAATAAAGATAATCCCTCCATCCTTAAAGCCCTTTCATCTCTTCAAAGCCAGCATAGCTATTTTAACTTCATAACTACATCAAAACAAACAGAAATGAGGAAGGTATTCAAAGCAAAAAGAGAAGAATGAGTTTCTAAGTGTTGTTTCTTTCTTTCTTTGAGATGGGGATTTTGCTGTGTT